TACGGGGCGGGGGGGTTTGGGTTTGAAGGAAAAAAGCTCGACTAAACCCAATCGGCTTATATAATTAATATTTTGAAAAACTCTAACCCCTACCTGAAGTTGCCTCCAGCCCTCTTTTTATGTGTGTAGCCTCTTAAGTTCCTGTTGAAGCTATATATATAGATGTACACAAATATATATATATATATATATATATATAACAGGAAGCTGTATATATATTTACACACACAGCTTCTGTATATATAATGTGAAGCTGTATATATATATAAATATATATATATATTGCAGCTTCCCCCCGGAAGCTTTTGGATAAAAAAGGAAAAAGGAGAAAGCAAACATACTAGCTGCAACAAAGAGAAAAGAAGATAGGTAGTAGGCAGGACAGGATGGAGCGGGTATAACCCGAAACATGGTGTGAATAAAATACTATTTTTATTAACCTGTCTTGGATTCAGGGTGGGTCCAAGTTTCTTATATTAATGGTTATGTTGGGTTCAGATTCCATTTTCATGCACACCCATTTTCACAAAACACACAAATGTTTTTATTATGAGCTCAAGGAGGCTGAATTCCATTGTCATATGGATTTCCCCCTCCTTCCCTTGAGTGTTTTCTCTCTACGGACCACATGGGGATTGGGTGAAGAAGGAAGGTAGGACACTTTGGAGATAAGCCCTTTTGCCTGGTTTATTGGTGTTGTGGTTAGAGCACAATTCTTAGACTTTTTAAGGGTCAACACTATCCTCTGTCTTTCTTATTAGACAGGTTGACTTTCTTTTCTTTTGTGGCCCATGTCTCATGGGTTCTTTCGCTAGTTTGTAGAGGGATTGGGATGCAGTGTTGTTTTGGTTTTTTTGTATTTTTCCCCTTTTGTTCGTTTAGGAGGATTGCTGATTATGTTACTTTTTCCCTCTATCTAGTAATGATTTTTGGTTGTAAAAGTGAATTATTAGGAAAGAAAGAAGTTCTAGAGCTTTTGAGGGTCTTGAGGGTAATTTGCACAAAATAAGGGATAGGTGGATTCACTATTTTGGATTTATTTTGTTAGGTTATGACATTATTAGTGATGAGAATTTTGGGAATGTTATAAATACCCTAACACTATTGTAAATACTTTTTATTCAAAAAAAAGATTTTCTTGTTGTAAAAGAATATTTTTGGGGTGTAATTTTTCAGGTAAAAACATTTTTACCTTCTCTTTTACCATAGAAAATTTGACATATCACAATCAAGTAATTTCCTGGATTATACTTTTCCATTATGAGTAAATTCAAGCTGTGGAGAGTTAAAGCCTTAACTAGCTTTGGATGGTACGCCACAATCCTATCCAAATCATGTTTTTATTATTTTCACTTGTTAGTATCTCTCTCTATCTCAAAAAAAAAATTTCACTTGTTAATTGGTTAAAAAAAAAAAAGAAAATTGTTTCTAAGGTGGTTATGGTTGAGTTGACCTTGCATGTCAAATGGGATGTTTCTTCCTTTAATAGTGTAGAGTTGTCTCGGAATCCTAAGCTAATGGACAATGTAAGAATCGGGATGAGGTAGAGAAGAGTAGTTTACTGAATATTATGCTAAAATATGTCTAAAATTGGTTGTTTGATGGTATACAATCCTCCTTGTCTTTCTTACTGGTTCCATACATCGGGTTTTCGGTTGGCATGAAGCCTACGTTAATGAAGATGGGGAAGATGTAATTGTGAAAAAGATGGATGTTGTTGAGGCTCTTGTTTAGGGAGTTGGAATGGAATAAGTAGAGAGAACCACAAGTCTTTTCTTTGTATTCTTAAGAAAGAAAATCTTATTGTGAGAATATAGTATAGACTTGATGTTGAAATATATGCATTTAATCATCCTTATGAAAAGCCATAAGGGTTGCAGAAAAAGGGTTCTTCATTAAGAGCCTTATTGGATTGGCTTTTTTTTTTTCGTCTTAGTTGCATAAAATTGGTTTTGGGTTGAATGAAAATATTACCGTTTCGTTAATTTCGAAGAATCACCTAAAACTATACAACTTTATGCGAAAGATAAAAAAGTGGTGAGACTAGTTTTTTTTTTTTTTTTTTTTTTTGGTGGAGGGGTTTTTTGGGGGGTTTTAAGCTGGTATTGGTTAGAGTTGTGTTTACCATTTCTTTTGACAAAAATACCCTTAACATCCTAAAATATGGGAAAGGGCTGTGGAAGAGGATTTGCACAGGAAAGAAAAAATTTCAGGAGTGTATTAAGTGGAGAATTGGAGATCAGGAGAGAACTATTTTCGGTCGGACATTTCGCTGGATGGAGGGGCCAGGAGAGTTAGATTTTCACAGATTTTTGTTATTGTGCGATATGAGGGTATTTAAGTTAAAGAGGCCTTCCTTGAAGGTGAGGGTCATAAGGAGTAACAAGGTAGTGAAGAATCTCAATGACTGGAAAATAAACGAATATGAATATCTTTTGAGCTCTTTGATATCGGTTTTGCTTAGTGAGGATCATGACCAACGAGTATGGACTCTTAGTACAACTGCAAAATTCACCGTGGAGACTTTCTACAAGTATTTGATCACAAAGAGCCAATTGAGGGCAATTTCTCATTTAGAGATTTGGAGAGTGAATGCACATCTAAAGATAGTTTTCTTTTTTTTTGCTTGGGAAGTAGTTTGTGGATGCATTTTGGCCATTGATTAGCTATTGAGAAGGGAGAAGATCATGGTTAATTGGTATTGTTTATGTAAGAGAGCAGAAGAGACTTGCGACCATATATTGCTCCGGTGACCCATCGCATATAGCTTGTGGTATATGGCTTTTGGGATTTTGGGTTATAACTGGGTCATGTATGGCATTATTAAAGAGGAGGCTTGGGCTTGGAAGGATATTGTGAGTCAGAAAAAACATTTGGGGATCTTTTGCAATCTTTTGATTTGTGTGCAAAGAAAGGATAGGAGAGTTTTTGATGAGGTGGAGAAGGGTCTTGATAGAATTAGAGAGGATGGTTCCAAACCCTTGGAGTGTTTATTATACTGAATCAACCTCTGTATCCCATAGAGAATCTTGGAGAACTAATTGATACCCTAACTGATAGGTACATTCTTTTATACATGAGTTTGCACCCCTTTGGTATATGGATTTGCACTCCCTTGGTTGCCTATAATTAATGATACGTGTTATACCTTTTATTTTTTTTTTAAAAAATAGAACTCTTTTGATTAAACATTTGGCAACCTTTTCAAACTAACGGCCATTCTAGTTCAATTTTCATCATTTGTAGCCAATTCCCATCGTTAATTTTTTCATAATAATCTTAATATAGATACAACGTAATTTTCATGCTTGAGCTACTCTCATCCCCAACTAAATGCACATATTTTTCATGTGGAAGGTTTGCTCAAACATGAGAAATTATATTCTAATCACACACATCAAGATTATTGTGAACATTTTACTGTTGGGAATTGAATGGGAGCTGAACCAAAAGAGACTTTAGAGTTAGATAAATTTAACTAACTAAAACACTAGTTAAGTTTAGAGCTCCATGAACTTAAGTCTGTTTGGAGCTTAAATCTCTAAGTAAAATAAGCCACTCCAGACATGCCCAAAATATTTTGATTAGTTATGGGGATAGGTTTGTTTTTTTTTTTTCTGAAATACAAAGTGATGGTGATGGAATTGTTGACTGAACTATGAAGTGGTAGGAGCAAGATTTAACTTATTCTATTGCAGAGTTGTAGGAACTGCACTCCTAGGTCAGTTGCAAAGAGATTCTTATGGTAGAGTATGTTCCTATGCTTATTGGCTGCTTGATTTCCGAAATCCTACTGATATGGACACAATCACGTCTTTCTCATTTTTTCCCCAAAGCAGCTAGAATATAAATTAAGCTAATATGCTTTAGTCAATTGGCTATTTATTATATATATTTTTTAATTCAATTACCCTGGTATTTTCAGGTTATATTGAACCTGTGATGGTCATTCTTCATGAGAGGGAGCTTACTTGGGCTGGTCGTGTTGCATGGAAGCACCATACTTGCATGGTTTCTGCACTTAGTATCAGCACAACTTTAAAACAACACCCCCTAATATGGTCTGCTGCTGTATGTCCTGATCTTTCTTACTTTTACTTTAATGTTCCTCCCTTAGAAAATTGATTTTATTGCTTCTTGCTGAGAGTTTGTAGCTCGATTTACTATAAGCTTTATATTTAAAAAAAAAATGATTTGCTATATGCTTTTTGATAATAAGTCCATGTGCCCAAATACTTGCAATCCCATGATTCTAGATAAACTTTTTTTTAAATGAGTCTTGATAAACTAACAAGTTTTATTCCTAGATAATGTAGTCCAGGTGCCCAGGAGCCAGGACTTGTGTCTTTATCAGTTGGGATTACTCAGGAGCTAGAATTTGTGTCCTTGTCAGTTGGTTTCTGAAATCAGTTACCAAATATGTTTACCTACTGGAAGATTGAAACCTTTCTACTCAAATTTAATGTCAAGATTTTATATGGATTTGCATATCATGCAGTAAATAGCTTTCAGACATGGGTTCTATTGTTGGTGGGACCAACATTACTAGATTGGATGAGGTGGTTATACATTTCCTCCTGGCCAAATGACTAAAGCTGGTATTCTTTGTTAAATAATAAATATGCCATCAACATAAACATGCTGACAATGCAATTCGTACTGATGCGATAAAAACCTGAAGCATGCAGAGCTTTTCCTCAGAACCATCAAATCTGTTCACGCTTTAAGTTTTTCCTATCAGTTACATTTTGACATGTTTAGCTATATCAGTGATTTTACGAAACCTTAACTTGTCTCAAGTGGCAATCTAAATAATCACCTGTGCGATTGATGCTATTTTCAGAACACGTTTTTAAATTCAACTTGTGTTTTTTGGTTTCATTTCATTTCATCTTTTTTTCAGAATCTTCCACAAGATGCTTACAAACTACTTGCAGTTCCATCTCCAATTGGTGGTGTTCTTGTGATAAGTGCCAATTCAATTCACTATCATAGTCAGGTTGGCTAATTTCATTTTAAAAATGTATACTAATATTATTTTTTCCTTTTGCGGGCAGGGGTGGGGAGGAGAATTTTATCTCCTCAACTGATTTTCCATGTTTAATTTAGTGATACAAGTCTGTAGTCTTCACGATTTGACTTTTCTTTTCTCACTCAATTTAGATTAGACTAGTTAATTTTTTTCTTTTGCAGTCTGCTTCTTGTGCATTGGCTTTGAACAGTTTTGCTGTTTCAATTGATGGCAGGTTCTCTCTCTCTCTCTCTGTTTCCCTCTCTCTCTCTCTCTCTCTCTCTCTCTTCCCAGTTTTGCTCTAAAGACTGAGCATACAGGTCTTCCACGTATGATAACCGAACCTTGTTGAGTGCACAAAGGATCCTAAATCTCTACTTATCTCACCTTAGAATTTTGTGCTATTTCAATTGTTATCTTGTTGTAGAACATAAATGTCCTTGGTGAATTTTTATTCTTTATAATTGAGGTGCAAAATACATCCATGAATTAGAATATCTTATTCACTCGATGGGTGAAGTCTAGTGATATAAAAACTTGTAATTTATTTTGAAGTTGTGGGTGATATGCTTTGTGATTTAAATTTTGAGTTTTCTCATTTTTCAGATTTCACCATATGCCATAGTGTAAACTTCACTTTTATTTGCATTGTTGGCTCTAATGGTTTAATGTCCATGAATTTTGACTAAATCTTCTGAAGATTTAATTGTGGTCAAATATGCATTTTTTTATTGATGCTATGCAGAAATTATACATACTCATGAAACTCATTAGAACTTCTTTGGAAAAAATTATGAGGGTGTTAAAATAGGGCTGAAGTGAGAAATAAGATGATTTAGATACATTGCATTTGATTGTTAGCCCCTTTGTTTAAGTCAAAATCTGAGTTCTCTCATGATGGTTGCACATTTTCCAAATCATTTCAGTCAAGACCTGCCAAGATCAAGTTTCAGTGTGGAACTTGATGCTGCCAATGCTACATGGTTACTAAATGATGTAGCTTTGCTATCAACAAAGATGGGGGAATTGCTACTGCTAACACTAATTTATGATGGGCGGTAGGTATTCTTTTATGTTGTTTTAATTTTAAGTTTTGTATTTGTCTAAACTTTCTTTAGTTGAACAATGAGCTAGTTGCATAACTTGAACTGGATTCAGCTCTTTTTGAACTGAATCCTGCAAGTATTATTTTTGTAATATTTTTCATAATCATGGATATGAGCTTTACATTTCATGGGAATTGCTAGTGCTTACACTAATTTATAATCGGGTGCCATTTTTCTTTTAGGTTCTTACCAGCTTTTCCACTCTCCCTCTCCCCTCATCATTGGAACTTATGGATGCTGCAAGAAAAGCCTTAATTCACCTATTATACTTGTAGGCTGTGGTAGTCATTTTATTAAAGTAGGGAAAAAAGACGTTGTAGGTATAGCAATGATGTCCCAAGACAAAATTAATGCGGGGTAATGAGTGTCCTTGCTGTTTGATGGCTAATCTATATGCAACAATACTCTCATTTAGTGAAATTAGGATAGCAAACAGAGTTTAACTGATTTCAATATGACCAGGACATAATTATTTGTAATGTCCTGGTTCTTATGAAGTTATATTCTTGACAGTTTTCTCATTCAAGTTAGATGGTAAAAACTAGGATTTTCTGCAATTCCTGATGCTTTAAGGATCTATCCATTTCATTTTATAACTTATTTGCTTCATTGTAAAACTTATTTTTTTTTAAATAAAAGAAGTTATATTATAAGATCGGTACCAAGGGGGTACCACCCAATTATAAGCATTTACATCTCAATCTTCATTGTAAAACTTATTAAAATCAATTTGACATAAAAATATGATTCTGTTAAATTTCTTTTATTTTATTGAACTCCTAAAGAAAATGAGTAGAAAATAAGGAAGGAGAAAAATTTGTAGTGGGATACTTGTGGAAGAACTTAAGGAGAGAGGTTGCTTCATAATCTTGTTATTTATGTTATGTCCTTAAATTGGGATGTAGTTATGGGCTTGTTGTGGAAGAGGGTAAGGTCTCACTGAAAAAGAATCCTTCAAACTTTTTGATAACTGTTCAGTGAAAGAGAACTCACTGATCTCTTTGATAAGAGCTCCTTAATAGGGAATTCTTGGAGCTCTAAGTTTAGGAAAGAAACACATATTTTTTCTTTCTTTTTGGGGAAAAATCTGCTTCTTGTTTCCTAGGAACTGTGGAGTTTTTTACAGATACAAAGACAATAGTATCTTAAACATACCTTGTAAGGAACGGATAACTCCCAAAACTGCTTGGGAAACTCCAAAACTATCTGTAATAACTTCCTGCTACATCTAGAAGAAAAAAAATACAGACGATTTAACACACACTGCCAAGGCACTGTAGAGAACTTAATCTACTTTTTTTTCTTCCTTTTCTCCATGTGTAAATTACTTATTTGGCCCATAACATCACTTCCTCCTTTCAAAGCCAGCTTGTCTCCAAGCACACAGGTAGACTACCTAATCTCCCATAAAAGCATCCTGAGACACACCAACGACCCTACTCAACACTTTAGACATTCTCTTAGTCAATACTTTTGCAATTATTTTGTACACTCTGCTCGCCGAACTTATCAGCTTGAAGTCCATGATATTTGATGCACCTTCTGTGGCTGCTCACCGAACTTATCGGCTTGAAGTCCATGATATTTGACGGCCCTTCTGTGGAGTTTAGACTCTTAACAAAAGAACTCGTGTCATGGAATTCATTAAATAATTCAATTAAATCTCCTCTTATGGTCTTCCAATTATTCTAAAAGAAATTTATATTGAAGCCATCAAGACCCGGGATTTTATCACCTTTGCAATCCATAAGTCTCAAAAATTTCATCCTTTGCAAAATTCCTCATCAAAAATATTTTGTCTTGATCATCAAGGCTATCAAAATCCAAGTTTTCTTGGGAAGGTCTCCAAAGAGAACTCACGGTATATATATTTTGTTTGAAAGAAAAAGTTAAGTATAAATTAGTATGGCACCAAAGAGGGTACCGCTAATATTCACAAGAATTTATGGTGATGTAAGGGTATCAATGACATCTCCAAAATTTTCATCCCTAATGATGTTATGCCCTAAGATAAAAGACCTAAAATATTTAAACCACTTATCTTTTAGTTTATATCTATTTACCTCTAATTCTTCAAAAGCTCTCAAATTTCTTTCTTTGCAAATGATTTAAAAAATAGATAATGAGATAATCTTTACAATATTTTTAGTCGAATCAATCCCTCCCCAAGCCCATACTTCAGCAAGCACCAAGGCTGTGGAAACCCA